TTTCAAAAGACGCAAGTACCATTTTATGATCCGAAGGGCCCTCAATAGTTTCACAGCCGGAAAGAAACGATTTCAAGCGTGCCGATATAAAAACTAGGTCCAAAATTGATGATCTTGTTGAAGTCACTCTTGTGTGATCAGTTACAACCTGGGTTAGATTGTAGCAAAATGCAAGCTCTATTAATTGGTCACAGCTAGCTACTTCCGTCGACCCAGGAGAAAGTGATAACCAATCTACCCCGGGTAAGTTAAAATCCCCCAAAAGTAATATGTTGTCCTCGTGACGTAGATTCAAGTTCATATAAGTTTGAAGCTTTATCATCACATCAGCCGGCGAATTCGGAGGCCTATACATTCCACCAATAAAGACAGTACTATTATTGAGCTTAGTTTTAATCCACAATGCTTCAACGTCACGTACTTCATCAAGAGCAGAAAACTGAATATTATTTTGAATCATGATAGCAACTCCACCACCTCTTCCTTCTCTATCCTTTCTTACTATTGTGTAGTTCGGGGGAGTTACTTCAGAGTCGAGGACATCTTTATGCAACCACGTTTCTGTAATTACGACGATATCAGGTTCATGTTCCAGGATTATGCTTTCAATTACATCGACTTTATTCAAAATACTTCTGGCATTCATGTTCATGATCTTGAAGCACACAGGCTCTTTGAATTTTAGTCACTTATTTTCATCTCCTGGGTGGTTTCTATGCGAGTCTCAAGGGGACCCTCATGGCACTTAAACCTCTCATTAGTAGCTTCGTTCCAGGCATAAAGGGCATTGTCCACTCTTAGCTTATCGAATACTAATTTCACTTTAGTACCCCTTCCTCTCTCTTCTGCCGTAGAATTCCACAGGTTTTTGCGGATCTCAACAACCCTTTTAGAGAAATCTTCACTGATGCTGATTGGGGTACCTTTGAGCTTGAAGCAGTTTTTCAAAATAGCCAGTTTATCTCGGAAGTCTGAAACCTTGAGCATAATCGGACGGTCTCTACCTGAAACCTTTTTTCCAAGCCTATGTATACGCTCAATAGAGTTTAGTTTATTATTTGGAATCTTATCAAAAACGTCATCATTCACCCTTTTTAGTAAAATTTCTTCGGTTTCTTTGCTGACTTCTTTAATACCTCTAACAATAAGATTGTTTCGTCTGGAACGATTTTCTAACTCATCAATTTGCCTGGCGAGTGTTTCAATTTCGGCTTCGCAACCGCCGACGGAGTGTTCGAGCTTTTCAAGTCTAGTCTCAGTTTCATCAACCCTTTGTAGCTTTTTTTCTATTGTCAGTAGTCTGTTCTGCATTTGGAGCATCGTTGCTTCGGACGATGCCTGTTTTGTTTGTATCTCTGAACTCTTAGACAGGATTTCTTTCTGAGTTTGAATCATTTCATTGAACATTTCTTGCGTAATCGGTCCGGGGTTTTCCTCAACATCTCCGGATAGCTTTAGTAAAAGCACTGCTATTGAGAAAAACTCACGTAAACAATCAAGGACTACATGTGGACACGGCAACACTAACAAGCAAAGGTGATCACTATGAAAACCAAACTTTCGAGCACCAACCTGCACAAAAAGTGGCACGCTTGGTGACATTGTCACGGCGGTGTTGCCGTGTCCACTGAGGCCTGAAGACGCTGGTATTGCTTTTATATGCACGCTGATTCCTCAAGAAGCGATGACGTCACCATGCCCATCGGAGATGCGCTGAAGACGCTGGCCACGTGCAGCCCTTGCGATGCGTCGATGACAAGGCGATGAACGGAGTTTCCATCCGCAGATAAAGTCGGTGTTGCGTCCAAGGCTGTGGATAAGCATCCAACGATGATCTGCACAAAAAGTGGCACGCTTGGTGACATTGTCACGGCGGTGTTGCCGTGTCCACTGAGGCCTGAAGACGCTGGTATGGCTTTTATATGCACCGGTGGCGCTGATTCCTCAAGAAGCGATGACGTCACCATGCCCATCGGACATGCGCTGAAGACGCTGGCCACGTGCAGCCCTTGCGATGCGTCGATGACAAGGCGATGAACGGAGTTTCCATCCGCAGATAAAGTCGGTGTTGCGTCCAAGGCTGTGGATAAGCATCCAACGATGATCTGCACAAAAAGTGGCACGCTTGGTGACATTGTCACGGCGATGTTGCCGTGTCCACTGAGGCCTGAAGACGCTGGTATGGCTTTTATATGCACCGGTGGCGCTGATTCCTCAAGAAGCGATGACGTCACCATGCCCATCGGAGATGCGCTGAAGACGCTGGCCACGTGCAGCCCTTGCGATGCGTCGATGACAAGGCGATGAACGGAGTTTCCATCCGCAGATAAAGTCGGTGTTGCGTCCAAGGCTGCGGATAAGCATCCAACGATGATCTGCACAAAAAGTGGCACGCTTGGTGACATTGTCACGGCGGTGTTGCCGTGTCCACTGAGGCCTGAAGACGCTGGTATTGCTTTTATATGCACCGGTGGCGCTGATTCCTCCTTATCTGGATGTTGAGTCTATGCAAGGACAACAAGCTTGTGAAACGTGGTCATTGTATTTTCGCGGGTTGCGTTTTGGACCCCTTATCGAGCGAAGCCGACGTTGTCTCTAGCAGCGAAAACCGGCACCTTCATTTCGTCTGTAGCCGCGAAAAACGACACCTAAGTTCCCATTGGCTGAGCGAAACGACACCTGAAGTCCCATTGGCCAAAAGCACGGTAACAAGGATGCTTCGTCACGGAAGCCGGCCGGGCGCTCAACATGAAAGCGGACTCTCATCAGAAATAAAACATAAAGAACAGCACAGCAACGCGGATGCATCGTCACGGAAGCCGTCAAGCACTCAAGGCAAGACACGCCTGCCCAGCAGAGTTGCGTGATGTCACCGCCGGAACGCCATATGTGATAGGAACACGTGCCGCGTTGCTTGTAGGAATGTGCTGCGTGTAAGAATGTTTTCGCATTCCTACACTTAAGCAGCCTGTAAGTGTCTTTCTGTAATTTGTTCACTGGGGGAGCTCAAACCAGTCAAATTTGGACCTCATTCAGCGTGCAAATGGGAGAGTCAATGATCCGGGTAGGAGTAAGATTTACGACCGTTTCTGTTCCTGTTAAGTTTACTATCTCTAATTATACCAATGCGACGTCTGAGTGGGATACTTTATGGCGATTACAGGGCCATATCCAATCCGAACTGTTTTTAACGGTAGATTGCGCAATGTGGTAGTTCGATTTTTCCCCGCTTTATACACCAACACGTTGATTGTGGCCACTGCGCATGCTCAGTGCCAACAGCAGTGCCACCGCAATGGAGTGACGTCAGAAAGATGTGCTGGTGTATAGTCGTGGCAACTTAGCAAAGTGGGGGTCGTGGAAAGTCTCCAGAGCCTTGTCATCCGTGCGCAGTTAAAGTGATGCTGAACCGAAATCTGGATTCAACAAAACACGGCGGCAAAAGCACGCAACGGGGTGCTACAAACACCAAAACATCATTCTGCAGCGATATCTCGAACAGATGACCGTATTTTTAAAAAAAAAAGGAGGCGCATTTGACAGATTTCTTTTCGCCTTGTTTCTTCGAGAAGGAGAGGGAACGGCCTCGCGTCTTCTACTCCTTACTGCTTTGAGGGGGCGAAGCGAGGAGGGGAGGAAACGAGATATCTTGACGTCACGCGCCTCGTCAGCCTCGTTCAATCTCGACCTCTTTTTCCAAAAGTACGGTCGACCACTCGAAATATCGTCTTACAAGTAGTGTTGTAGGGATTGTAACGTCCCGAAAACATCTCCTGCATTGTTCTTTTAAAATCCAAATCCAAATAGCTGACAAGAACGCCTGACAATGAATCACGCCGCGAGAGGCGTGAAGGCAATGCGGAGAGGAAATCGTCTGCTTCTTGCATAAAAGCTGTAGTGACGTCAGAACTACTCTGAGCTCTGATTGGCTTTGATTGAAAAGATAATGGGTAGGCCTCAATGCTAGATGCCAGGTCTAACCACTATTTGTTTTTTGTTGTTGTTGTTGTTGTTTTTTTTTTCAATCAGCCAATGCGAGTTCGGCGTTCTGACATCATTGCAACCCCTGCGCAAGAAGCAGACGAACTTGCGCTCCGCATAAGCTACACGTTAGTGTTTCTTTAAGGGGCACTCAAGTGGATTCTAAGATCATCTATTTATAATGATGACTCAATCTACGGTTCATTAAGCACCCTAAAAGCCCGAAATTACACTTATGGGCGGGCAATTTACTTCTCACAAGTCTATTCAGAGATTCGTGACACGACACCTCTGTCTGCACCTTGGAGCACACACCAGGGGGCGCCGTCGGACGGCGATCTCGAACGATAATTGCCGTGTTACGTCTCCCACAACAAAAGATTTTACGTGTTTGTTGAAATATAATGCGCAACGCGCCTAAAAAGAGCAATAATAGTAACGTTCCCAATCTCCTCTTCATGAACTATTTTCATTGGTCAAATTTTATGAAGGTTGCAGGAACCCGAGAAATGGCACCTACGTGAGAATTAAGTGCCCGTTGAGTTCAATTTCTGTGAGTTTAAGAAGACGTCTTCCCTCTAGAACTGGTCATTTTGCTTGACTAGAGCCCAACAAACAATTTGCCACCAAAAACAAACTTCTACAGAAGGCACCAGGGCCCCGCGATCAATGACTGTAGTTAAAAAGTCCATGATTGAAATGTCTAAGAAACTGAATCTTATATTTGAACGAGTTCATGCCATCATCATGTTTCATCGAATGTGAACTGTTTTGTTGTAACTTAAGGAAAGTATAATTTCAGAAAGAAATGCCCTTTAGACATTATGGCATGGTACTGTCCAAAGACCAACAATGTGACACCAAAAGCAAGCTTCTACATAAAGCACTCGACTGTAGTTGAACGGTGCATGATCGAAATGTCTGAGACCTTCGATCTAATATTTGAACGAGTTAGGCCATCATCATGTTTTATCAATTGTGAACTGTTTTGTTGCAAATTGTTGCATGTATAATTTCAGAGAGAAATGCCCATTGGACAGTACGGCATGGTATCGACGCCGGGAAGAGGACCTTGGATTGTCTTCCACAGACTATGAACACTGCAACTCGCCAACGACCATCCCTTTTCTCCGTTGCGTCCATACGCCGAAATTAGCTCAGTGGCAGAAGCTACAAGTCATGTGACTGTGTTACATATGTTACCACGCGGCATCGGCGGTACTAACAGAACCGAGCCCCAGATTCGAACCTTATGGGAAAAGACCCGCAAGAGACTGCAGTCAGCGAGGACCATTACGGACGAGCTCCTTTATTATCCTTTTGTTTCATTTGTGACAATAAAATTTTTTCTCCGACCTTGTGGAATTTTCAACAAAAAACTAAGTCCCTGCCACAAGTAAAGGCACCGGTACTATACTGAGCAGACACTTTAGTGATATTTGGGCGATTATAGCCCTAAAGATAGAAACCACAAAAATATATAGAAAAGTAATTGTTTTGAGTGAATGTTTATAGACAGCCGGAAGTTAAATAGCCGCATTCGGCGTCTGGTGTCTCGGTTGTAGGCGAGACATTTAGTGAGTGCTGTACCACTGTTAGCCTATTCCCGTTTGCTGATCAATGCGGGTATCTCTCCCGGCACAAAATCCCTCCAGAAGAGGGATTTAGAAATCATGTGACCGGCTCTGTGGTGAGAAAGTACTTAGCGTTCCAGCCGGTTCCTCACCAGACTTGTTTTCAAAAATATACGGAAGAGTCAGACGAAGACGACGGACAGGACAAACATCTTTCGACTTTCAACACGTTGAGGTCTTTATTGCCAGGCTACACTGTAGCCAGGCCGACAAGCAACGAGCTGCCAAAGATTTGGGGAAAGGGTTAGTGTACATAACTTCGTGTTCGCACGACTCAACGTCCCTTTGTTTACGAGTCACATATATTTTACCTAAAACAAAATCGTTAAGTACAACACTAGAGAGTTGAGGTTGTTGGTACATTTCTGTAAATAGATCAGCTTGAAATTTAGAAGGATACCGTCTTTTCCTGTCCTTTCTTCGTGTTTAAACAAAATGCTAAAGTTCAATCTGATCTATTTACACGGTATAAAATGTTGTGGCGAAGTGTAGTAGGTCACATAAAATACCCATGATTGGTGCAACTTTGTGCTGCAGTATTAAAAGTTAAATCGATTGTGTCCTTGAACTAAGGAATTAATTACAGTTCATAAAATCATGAAATGGGCACCTTGTAACCATATATATCATGAAATAGGGTTTACGAAATACGTGCTGTATATATATATATATACAGGGTGAAACAAGGAGACGGCAGGCTCTTTAAGTCGACCGGAAAATTCGGTTTCTTAACCTATCGCGCTACGACTTTGTGCAGAGTTGCCCGCAAATGGTGCATACATTTTTTTTTTTTTTGTAAAATTTGCGAAGAGCGAACTTACCTGAGGAAAAAGTAAAGAAACAAAAAGGCTTAACTCCTATGGAAACGCAATGACGCCACCGGTATGCAAACAATACGGCGCTGTTTCGCACGGGAGACAAGAGATGGCGCAACAAACGCCGCCAACGTAAAGTCCCTTGCGCCAACGAACTGGGATACGGCGCCGAGAGCAGGTATTTTTTGCAGACGATATTTTCGACTCAAAAGCGGCGCGCGTTCCGCAGGCGGCGACAATCACAGAAACAAAAAAGACAGGCGCGGTAACAGCAAGTAACTGCAGTTCCTTCTCTGCAAAAGGGCCGGCTCTCAGCGTTGTCTGCCCGTTCGTTGGCGGCAGTTGGCGTCGCAACCGCTTGCGCCATCTCTTGTCTCCCGTGCGAAACGGTGCCGTGTTATTGGCAGACCGGTGGCGTCGCTGTATTTCCATAGGAGCTAAGCCTTTTTCTTTATTTACTTTTTCCTCGGGTAAATTCGCTCTTCGCAAATTTTACAAAAAAAAAAAAAAAAAAATCACCATCTTTGGGCATTGCTGCACAAAGTCGTAGCGCGATCGGTTAAGAAACCGAATTTTCCGGTCGATTTAAAGAGCCTGCCGTCTCCTTGTTTCACCCTGTATATATAAGGACGACACAACTGAGCTGAAATTTTGAAAATGTCACGGAAGTTTTAGGACAATCTCTTTCAGTCTATCTTTTATAGAAACACCGAGCGGCAATCACAATGCTTGTTTTTCTAACCAAACATTGTTTACACACAGCACCGTGATACATGCGACTAATCATGAATAAATAGGGTTGTTCGTTTTCGGGTTCTACATATATATATATATATATATATATATATATATATATATATTTTTTTTTTATCTTTTTTATTTTTTTTAATTTGGAAGGTGAAAATTGAGTGCTATTTTTCAACCCATAATCGGGGAGAAATTGTTTTTTTGTAAAAACATTCCCAAATTCGGGTTTTTTCTGGTTAAATTTACAAATCTACTCAGTTTTACATTCATTTATTTTATATTTTAGCGTATTACGAGCCCTTTAACGCTAACGCATTAAAATTCGGGCTCTGTTTCAAGCTAGTAATCGGGGAGACATCGGGGTTTTCCAGCTTCAATTGCCGTTGGTCGCTTCAAGGAAAGCACTGCCCACGGAATCTTCCTCTCCCTGTGAACAAAAACCCAGACCGTTCGAGGGACGTTCGTCTTCGATCAGATATTTCGCTACGGAACAAACTTGTTAGGTTTTCCCGATCTCAGTGATGTGATTGGCTTAAGCCCTTCTGGAGCACCTTTCGGAGCAGACAAAACAGTGTTTTGGAGCAGCAAAAACATTGTTTTGGAGCAGCCAAATCAGTGTTTTGGAGCAGCAAAAGTGGCTTTTAAAGCAGATATTCTTAGAAAAATATAAATATTTTTTTAAGTGCTGGACAGATGAAAGGCACTTTGCTCGCCGCAATAAACAAGTTACGGTCAAGTTAGACCAGCTCTGAGTCTTTCAACATGTGAACTGAAATGCCAATGACATGACACATTTTGCAATGCTTCAGTTAAATGATAAACATATATGTACGTACCCGCTATCGATAAACAAGAGTCAAACTGCACATATTAAAATTTATTTGAAAATGACCAGCTTAATAGAAAATATCACAGCATTAGGTTTACTAGTTATATAATATAATAAAGCAAAGTAGTCTCCAACTGATCAAACACCAAACTACTGCAGTGCAATGCGGAACTGTACACAAGAAAAAGTTGCATTACGACTAGCGGGTGCTTTTCGTTTCGCTTTTCGAAACTTTCTGAAAGGCTGCTGCAAGCCTCGCTTTGCCTTCGACAAGTAATGAATGTCCAATTTCAATGTCTCCAAAGAGACATTGAGACGTCCCGCTGCAGGCGTTGCCAAGCAATTATGTAAAACCGCTTGCCAACATTTTACTGTTCCCGACGTGCCAGATTTTCGTTAAAATAAGCAAACGTAAAGCAATGGATTGCAAGCGACCCGGCTGGTGCCTCTCTCGTGCAATAATGTTCGAATGCACGTGAGGGCAACTTCGGCAGCTTGCAGTCGCATGTGCTTCGTCGCGCGAGCGGAGATGGCTGTTCGATCGAAACCGAAACCATGCCACTCCGCTCCCTCGCCAACTGGTTCCCAAAATTGTACGCAAAATGTAACTGTCCAGCAGCGCGTGCTTGCCAGGCCTGCAGACGAGATACAAGCTAAATACACCGAAAAAAAAAAAGAGCCTGAGCGCGTCGATGCAAGACATGGCGAGCCAGGGTCAAAAAGTTTTTGGAGCGCTTTGTGGAACGACTGAACTTGAGACGAACAAACGCGCTGTGCGGGTTCAGCGTGCAGACATTGCCTTCTTTGCTTTAGCTCAGTTCTCTTCACCAACTTTCTTTTCCGGTAGATTTTTTTATGTACCCGGGTCCCTCTCGAAAGAAAGCCCACCGAGAGAAACCTAGGTAATGAATACTTCGACACAGCAGTCTGAGTTAAAGAAGGATTTTTGTAGTAGCGTAATTTAAACAATAACAGGAATGTTGATGACTTTGCGGAGGTCCTTACGTTTCAGTTTAGAAAGCGCCATATCCGCAGCGACGTGGGCACGGCAACACCCGGCGTCATGCAACCACGGTGACTGGTAGGCAGGGACCAAATATAGTTTTCCAACAACCATTGCTATGAGTCCATATCACCTGAGCGAATGACGTTTTAGCGGAGAGAAATAATTGAGCGAATCGACGTTTTAGAGAATAACAAAAGCGCGCGTTAATCCCCCCTCCCCCCCCTCCCCCGCCACCGCCGCCGCGCGTTGCGCTTACGACGCTTTGCGGCGACGGTCTGCGGCGGCTCATTGCAAAAATATGAACCCACTTGGCCCACCCGAAAATGCCGCTTTGCGGCGTCCGACAATTCGCTAAAGTGTCATTCGGTGAAACGTGGGCATTCGCTAAAACGTCATTGATCAAGTGAGTGCCTCCCTACGGCATGGCTGTACCCGGCACGCTAGCGTCGAAGCGTCCGCACACGCTTCCATCAGCGCTTGCATCTATCGTTGTAAAAATTTTAAAGACGTCAGAGACGAGACCCACGAGATGACTAGGGCGCAAAACGAGAAACGGCGAGAAAAACCATGCAAGACCGGATGGACGATTGATGCAAAGTACTTTGTGTCGGGCGGCCGCTTGCGCCAACTAGCTCAGACATGCTCAATTACGGTATTCAGTTTAGTTTCGGTTTTAAAAGGCGACCGAAATTGGTCCTTTGGCGCAGCCTTGGCACAGATTACCCATTTTCCGGCAAAATGTAGCAGGATGTATCAGGGTTCGCCCCTTGGCGCAGTTTGGCGCAATTGGCGCAGCAATCACATCACTGCGATCTGTTTACGCGACTGACTGACTCGGACGTTGTTCGTTAGAAAGGTTAAACGTCAGCGAGATGGCCTTGCTACCCGAGAGATCTTGCTGGGCGTCAAAACCTCAGCGGTCGAAGGGGGATGGATAGTGCATTTCACAAGCTGCGTACAGCAGGGCAGAAGCTACGTGGCGTGCCGAGGCGGTTCCACCTGCACAGCGGGTGGAATGAAATGTCCCTTCGAGGCCATAACGCCTATTGTCACTTTTCCTCAGCCTGCTTCCGTAGAATGTCACGGTGAGTTAGGCGCGCGCGCTCGTTGGGCGGTTGGTTGAGAGTCATGTAGCGTCCACAGTGCTGCACGCAGCTTGCGAAAAGAACTATTAGCGTCGAGATGTTTCGGTGGCGCCCTCGTTCGGTTACCTTTCGTGACGTCTTTACATTGTGAACAAGTTCGATGGTGTTTGTAATGGGCATGGTGGAAGCCTGAAATCATAGCGCTCTCAAAGCAACACTGCCAACACCGCCGAAATTGAA